TTTATTTATTTTATTTTAAATTTAAAAAAAAAATCGATTTTTTTCATATTTTTTCGAAATTTTTTTTAAAAATATGACGTGGCATGCTGATGTGGCAAAAAATCTATGTGGCGTGCCACGTCAGCCGCCACGTGGCATGCCACATCAGCGGTTAACGGACACTTAACACCGTTTTCGGATTGTGTAGGAAATTGCAGTTAAATCGGGTAGTTCGTGTATCAATTTGGCACATTTGATAATTTGGTGTAGTTTTTTGTCAAATTAAAAATTCGTGTAGGAAAATGTCTTTGCAAAGTTGGTGTAGGAAAATGTCATTTTCCCTGAATCATATTATTTTGTCGCAATATGTAAGGTCCTTTTTGTTCTAGAAAAACACGGTCGATGGATAGATATGTTTATCTGCTCTTTTCGTAACATTAATATTTGCTTTCGTGTATTATCCATATGAAAATTGAAAACAAATAATTGTGGTTCAAGGTTTTTTAATAAACTTATCTTTATTTTTATTTTGGATAGTGGGTAAATAAATATTATTATATAAATTATATTGGATAATATGGTATGGTACTACATGGCCTGCCTAAAGAAAAAATTTAGGAATAGGATGTGTGGATGAGATCAAAACGGATTGAAAATTCAATGACCTTCTCGATTGATTTGACTTCCATTTTCTATCTATCATTCCTATATATCCATTATCCAATATTTTCTATTTCGTTGACCAGCTGACTAATTTATTATGCTATTTTTTCATCTATATGTATTATTATTATTATTATTATTATTATTATCCGCAATAAATTTATTTAATTCAATGCCCTTTTTTTCCGGACCTGGCCATAGAGAATGGCACGCTTTAAATAAATTTATTGAAATATGATCCTAGGAAGAAAGTAATATTCTCGGACTTCCGTAAATATATATATATATATATATATATATTCAATAAAGAAAAGTGTCCTTTGAAGACATTACCAATTTGTACAATTATCTTTTTTTCCCCAAAACCATGCAAATCACGAATATATATGACGTAATATGATATAATAATTCCATGAAATTCATATGAAGAGAAAAGGTGAAAAGCTATTCTAATTTGATAGCGTTAGATTCTCCTCCTCCTTTTGAATTTATGTTTATATGTAATTTTTGTTTTTGTTAATGGGAGGCGTTGATTTCGCCACGAAACGATGCCGTGGGGAGACGACAGAGGAATTTCGGCATCCATTTCTAGAGTCATTAACTACGCACCAAAAAGGCACAAACTTTATCTAAAATTAGCATCCCTTCAATTTCTCACCCATCTTTTCCTCTCCGCTTCCTGTGGTGATGATGATGATGAGCATGTCTTGATTCAATCAGATAACTTTGTAATGCAATAGCTTTAAGTTTCATATTAACGAGAATTGATATCTTTTTCATGTTTAACTTATTTTTTGGTATTATATGGCAAGATCACATGCGAATTTTGACTTCGAAAATCGCAGTTTAAGCAATAATAATAACATTTTTTTTTCTAACCAGTACTCCAATTATAGTATAATAAGGCTCAACCACACAAGGATTTTTTATTTTATTTTTTTTGTAGTTGTGCTTCTGCAAAACATGAACACGTTTCTTTTGCTATGAATATCGCGACCTTTTCGTTATAATTATTTAAAAAAAAAAACACGTATAGTATTAGTTTAATCAAACAGGCTGAAACCCATGTCGTCGTCAGACTCTTCCGCCGGTTCTTCCTTCTTCTCCTCTTCCTTGGAGGCAGCAGCTGGAGCTGCACCACCATCTCCTGCAGACATGGCAGCCGCAACAGCCAACTTGCTAGGATCCTGTAACATATCATTTTCCCACTTCACTATGTTAAAAAAAAAAAAAAAAAAAAACACGATTGAGGGGGGGGGGGGAGAGAATCTTGCGGAGAGAGAGGGTTTTGACTTTTTTTTTTTCACTGCGGTAAGAGTTTCGAGAGTTTGACGTGTTTCTTATGTAATTTTAGGATATACAGCGAGACTTTGGTCAAAGAAGAGAGGGATGTCTTGTTACAGCGATTTTCTATTTTTAGAGATTCAGGTAAAATTAACTAATTAAGATGCTCCTCGTTCACGATCTGATTTTACTATTTATGGCATGTATATAATCTATAGAATTCCAAACTAATCAATTAGAGGAACGTATAATTATAAATTCACACCTCAAATCGCAAAAAAAAAAAAAAAAAAAAAAAAAAAAAACACGATTGCTTGCATATCAATGAACAGGACAAAACACCTTCAGGTACTCCTTCACTTTCTCAGCCTGAGGGAATGTGTACTCCGTTGCTATGGCAACAGCAAGCACATTCTTGTAGGCATTGATGAACATGTGAGGGGCAGCGGCTAGGGTCGGGTAAGAGATGGCGAGAGATAGAGCGGTGACCATTGAGACACCAGCAGCAAACTTCTCCATAAGGTCATCCTCGGTGAGATCGAGAACCTCGGGGCTGAAGACAGACCCATTGTCGTACACTGACTGAACTATGAGACCATACGAAAAGGGTCGGATGCCTAGCTTGGCCAGAAGGGCAGCCTCAGAGGATCCAACCTTGTCGCCCTTCTTGATGAGCTCCACAGGGGTGATAATTTCGACAGTACCCTTGTTAATCTTGGTAGGAATGTTAAGCACCTGATTAAAAAAAAAAGGAGTTAGATGCTTCCAAATGCTTTGTAGGAAGACACAGGGCTTTAACGACAGACCTGGAAGAAAGAGGTCTGTGATGGGTCGAGACCAGTGTTGCCAGGAGGCACAACCACGTCAATCGGCGCAACCAATCCCACACGGGCAGGAGCTCCAACCTGATAAAATGAAGAAACCAAACGTTTATGATCAATTAAGGGTCCACTGTAATACCAGTTACCCACCAAAACTATATTCTAGGTACCTCTACCGAGTGAAAGTTTAACGACAAATACGAGACAAACCGGCAAAGTCTATTTAAGTTCTGAACGAGTTCACCTAAAAGCTACAATTTTTTCAAGCCATATTGAAATGCAATTTGCATTTAGAACAAAGGCATTCTCTAACTTTAGAATCACGAGTAATAGATCAAACAAATGACCCCAACCAAGGCACTATCATATGAATGCAAACGATAATTCAAGCAATAACATTAACAGAGAAATGGTTTGGATGAACAGACCTTGTACTTGGCAACTTCCTCGCTCACTTCCTTCAGGTCACCCTTGGTGAAGATAAGCCCGACATTGCCCTAATAAAAATACAACGAAACCATAATTACAGCCTAACCAATCGTAGCTCGACCAAATTTCATCTAACTAAAATCCAATTCAGCTTAACGCGACCGAGACGAAACCTGGAGGAGGGTGATGAGGTTGAGGAAACCATTGTTGCCCGTCTTCTCAGCATGCATCCTGATAGATCTCTTCATCATCGTGTTCTTACCCATGAGAACGACCGAGTCGCCTCGCAAACCCTTCCGAATGCTCTGGAGCTGGTTCGAACCGACATTGTCCGCCGCCACGACAAGGATCTGGGTGTACTCGTCCAGTAGCTGACACAGCTTCGCGTCGTAAGCAATCTTCTTTTCCGCTTTAGTGGGTTTCACCGCCATTGCTACTCAAAACAAATCTACAAATATACCTAAAACTAGGGATTAGGTACAAAATCTGAGGGCCAAGACGAAGCTAGAGTTCGTACAAGGTGGACAGCTAACAATGCCGTCACTTTAACCTCTGCAACTCGAATCTATGGAAGGTAAAGAAGAAAAACCCTAAAAATTTGCGAAGGCTGATGAAAAGAAACATTTGAAGGGTAGCGAATGTATATAGGTAGAGGAGGCCCACGCTAAGATTTTCGCGGGGTTGATCAAGATCCAACGGGTGATATTTATTGGATCTGTGGGGATCTTATGGTCATTTGTGGGCCTAAATAGATCTTATTGGGCTTATAGGCTCATATATAGATTTCCATATGATTTGTTTTTGGTTTTTTGAATTTTGTGATGGGCTTAAAAAATTACGAATATGACACTATTTCTCATGCCCGTCGTCTTCCTCACCGTACACTGAAAATGCAAAATCTGAACGTATATTCCATACTCTATATGGATTGAATCAATATACAACCTTTGTCTCCAGGGGAGACAGCGAAACCTAAAGGTTGATCTGATCAGAGGGAAAGCAATGGCTCCAAGAGGAAGACCCAGAAAGGTAAGCCCTTGCTTGTTACATTTTCCCGCACTTTCCCGCATTTTCTCCCGTTTTTATCGGAGCTTAGTCATCTTTTCCACTCCCACGCCTGTGCTGTTGTGTGTGGAATTTTGGGTTAGAATTTCGCTAGGGTTTTGAATTTTTCTTATGTTTCCTTTGCTAGAAGATTGGTTTGACGCGCGCTGACGCAGCTCGAGACGCCATGAAAGCTTACGGGTTTGACATGCGCTTGATCAACGAGACGATCAAGGAGTTGCTGCAAGTGGGTTCTCTGGTTTTTGCGTAGAAAACTTGTGATTATGATTTTTTCCTTGTATTTACTGAATTTGACTGTTTGCCCTGTTTGGATTCTTAGGTCTATGGTGAAGAAGGGTGGGTTTTGATTGAAGAGGCTTCTTACAAAGTCCTGCTTGATGCCATCATTGAAAAGATTGAAGAACAAGCGAGAGCTGAGAAACAAGACCATGAGCAGGTGATTTTCTTTCCTGTAATCTTTGTTTCCATCTCTCTTCCTTTCAATGGAGATACATGTTCTAGAGATGGTACTTACAGTCATTTTTGGGACTGAGGATGTGAGAAAAGAACTGGACTGTTTCAAAAAAAGTTTGATCTTTTCTGTTTGGTGTCTCTCTTCAAAGGAGGGAGAGTGGGCTCTCAACAATGAGATGGGTTTTCTCATCTTGTGGGAGAAAAAGCAATTCTGTAGTTGCAGTTATAGATTATGAAGATTTTGATTTTTGTATAAGGATTTTTGCAACTTCGTCTGAGAATTCTATTTCAAATTGCTGGTTGTTGTTGTTGTGGAAGTGCTTGCTTTACAAATGAAAGTCGTAAATTGTTTTCTTGGCCTTGGCAGTTTGAATTAGATTTGTAGCTTTCATCCTCATAACTGAGGTTGTAATTTTACTGATTTAGATTGGCAAACACAAAGTTTCTCCCGTCTCGCTTCTTTCACCATTATCTGTGATCACATATATGAAACTCATATTTCCCTTTCTGGATTTGTAAGTCTGACTTGCCACGCATCGCTGTTGAACTTATCTTCTAATTTAAACTTTATAACAGCATCATGTTCCTGCTTTTGTTAATGGCATTTCTTTGTCATTCTTCTTTTGATTTGTGTATACTTGCCTGTGTTTAGAGTAGTAACCAGAACTTTGTGTAAAAAATAGAGAAAAGAAGGATTGAGATAGAACTTTATTAAAGAGATGTTCTCACTCTCCCCCCCTGCAACTTTTTCCCAATATTAACCTGAAAATGGCGTGAGCCCTCACCATTGCTATCAATCAGTCTGCCCCATGCATATTCCTCTTGAGACTTTGTCTTATCGAGGAACATTCTTCTCTTTTTTTTTTATGAAAACTTCGGAGTTTTCGTCCATATTAATGGTCAACCGGGTAACTTACTTCAGGAGGAGCATACCGAGGGTAGTGGACACCAGATGGAGAACAATTCAAGTCCTCATGTGGATGTTGAGCCAGAGAAGAGCCCTAACCAGGGCACTGAGATTGGCACGGAAGCTGACCAGGCTGAGGCTGATGCTTCGTCATTCACTAACGAGGTCATCCTTGACTCGCTGGCCCGCCATTCTGAAGGAGGTAACTCATCCAGCCACTCCACTTGGAAACATTTGTGGGCTGCCTTAAGGCTAAAACTTCTACCTTGACCTTGACCCATTATTTCTTCTCTGTTTCCCAGCTAAGCACTCACAATAATTCCAGTCACATAGGACTGGTTTCCTGATCAAACAATGTTTACGACTCACTCTATGTTACTACAAATGTTTCCTGATTATGGCGATGGCTTTACCAGGAGAAGTTTTAACCACAGTTGCCGTGGAGATTGTAGAAAGCTCAAAGGCAAAGGAAACAGAAAACGTCAACGTCTGCATTGGAACAAACGTGGGTACGGAGGAGGAAGGCCTCCGATTCATCGCTCACGCCGAAAAGAGTTCTCATCCTCACAACGGATGGATAAGCAGCGACGAGGAGGAAGGGGATGATGAAGAAGAAGAGGAAGAGGAAGCTTATGTGGTGCTAACTCCAGAGCCATTGTCTGAAGAGCTACAAAGGATACTGGAGGAAGCAAACGGACAGAGGAAGAGGAAGAGGAAGTCGACGAGGTGGGATGTCACACCCGAACAACTCAACCCTCTTTAGGGTTTTTAAACAAATGCGTTTCTGTTACTTGCAGTTGAAGAAACACAGTTCGACATCTGTTTTGTATAGGAGTTAGAGGGGCTGTCTTTGTATATCTCCGGGGTCTTCTTTAACCTGAATGAGAGTGAAACTGTAAAACGAAAAGCGGGAATATGTTGTGTTTCGTAATTTTTGTTTTCAAAATACGAAAAAATCCAAACAAAATTGTTAAATCGATTCAATTATAATGAAACACAAATAAATATATAAATATAAAGTTAAATTATAAACACCCGGAAGTGAATTAATTAGTAAAAGTGCATATAGATTCTTAGTACTATTTATTGATTTAATAATCGAAGGACTCATCAAACCATATTTAAAATAACCTCAAAAGTGGGTTTTCTTTCCTCCCACGGATTATTCTAAAGATAAATCATAGTTTAACCGGACTCCCAAATCCCGAACCGGCCGGTTCAATCCAGAGAACCGAACCGAATCAAAATCAAGCCCTGGCTCCGCCGCCGCCGCCGCCGTTTTTGCCGTGACACATGGAGGAGAAATTGGTGTTGAGATCAGAGTACATGGAAACAACTTTGGAGATGTTCCCGTTGAGTTCTTGGATCAAAGACACGTTCTTGACCATGTTGTCCGCCATTCTTGACTGGTGATTCTCGTTGACTTGTTGGATCAGAGCCCTGTTCCTGTCCAGAACTGACTGGACTTGCCTGAAGTTCTGATCCAGTGTCTCCCACATCGCCGGATCACCTCCCTCCTCCGCCTCCTCCGCCGTTACGCCGCCGTTGCGCCGCCGCTTCATCTCGCCGTTGCGTTTCATCTTCTCCATTCTTCGAGATTCCACGGGCGATGAATCGAATCCGTTCATGAATTTTTTTGTTATTTTTTGGTTGGTTTTATCGAAAAACCACTTGCGGCTGTTTTTTTTTCCTTGGCCGCAAAAAAAAAAAAACAATTTCTGCAATTTGTTTGCTTGTGTTCGAAGAATTAATTTTTCCTCTCAGTTTTAGGTTTTTCTTTTCTTTTTTCTTTAATTTGCATTTCAACGCTCCATAGATACGAGATATTTATAGCCTAACTTCGACAGGTGGTGGGTGGATACGGAGGAGAGATCGGCTCAACACCACGCGCACAATGGCGCGTGAGATGCAAATCTAACGGGAATCAACACGTGAAAACACGCGCGTATGTGGGAGAGTGGCGGAGAAGGTAAATCTAGAAATATCTGTTGGCTTTCGTTGATTGGGAGAGAGGAATAAAAGCGTAGAGCACTTTTGCACTTTTTAGATATTTTTAAAAATAGGGATAAGGATCTTTCATTTTTTTAAAAAAAAAATTAAATATCTAAAAGACATTTGAATATTTGGAAAACAAAGACAGAGCATATGGTGTACGGTCTGCCAGCGAACAGAACTGAACTCCAATACATACGGATACCATGTCTAAAATCCCTTTTGAGGGAGCTTATTAAATTGAAACTAAGTTAATTTAGAGAATTTAATGCTCAATCTAAATGGTTTGAGTTTCAGAATTAAAAATAGATTTTAAATTTATTGACAGATAGTTTGAGGTTGAGTTTAACTTTAACTATTAAATCTTATATTTTGAATTAAATCTTAAATTTTGAATTTAAAAGGTTTGAGCTTTGGATATCGAAATATCAAAATATATTTAAAGATAGGATGAAGACAGAATATGTCGGCGAAGACTAATAGATTTATTTGAAGGTGAGATGAGATGAAGATTAGATAAGAAGTAAAGATCCATGCAAAGATATGTGAATAGAGACCGGATAAAAATGAGTTAAAATTACAAATTCATCATCAAACCAAATATTTTTTAAAATCATTTATAAGATTTAGAAAATTCGAATTCAAATATGATGTTTGGATAATTCATATGATATCTCGTTTGAAGCTATACATATAATAATCGAAAACCGAATATTTTTTTTCTTACAAACTCTATTACACAAATTCATTTTTCATATATATAACAGAAAAAAAAAACAGATTCAATAGTGAAAACACAAATTATTTAAACCATCATAAATTTAAACCATCATAAATTGAATCTGGTTATAGTTGGATAAAAATTGGCATATTGCCTACACTTCACTTGCAGATCAAACATCAAAGATCTAATTTTTGCAAACTAACAGTGATTTGGATATTTACCCAAACACATTTTGTGCTCACTTTACATAAAATATCTGTGGGGAGGACAGTCTTGGAAAGCTATGAAAAAGTTAGAGTATTTGATTCTTGGACTCTGTTTGGATATTTCGAGGACAAACAAAAAGGATCTGGGAAATAAATTGTAAAAATATGTAATTCATATTCGTGAAAAAGTATACTTTAATTAGCTGTAACATTTAGAGATGTTATATTGATGATTTTTAAGTTTAGATTTGTTATTTTATATCTATCGTTGGATTTTTATTCATTGTTCAATAATAGAAGTGATTATTTTTAAAAATAGTCATTTTCTCAATTATCTTTATATGTGATTTAAATGATTTAAATAATTTAATTACATAAAATTATATCTAATTAATTTAAATAGTATGCTACTCAAATGCAGTTATAAGTGTTTTGACCGCTGCTAATTTTAACTCTAGTGATTTACATATTCGGTTACCAAAAATTTATCTGGAAGCGTCAAAATTGGACACAAGAGAAAAATACCAAAAGTCTCAATCGGAATTCAATTCTCCCTCCCATTTTGTGCTTCCATTACCAAAAAGTAAAGAACCCAACTTTTATGGCACTTTATGCGCTTTTTGGCCCTCCATTTCCCTCCTCCTTTCGTTTTTCTCTACCCTTTCTTTTTTTCTTTTGCACTGTTAACTTATTAAGTAAAAAGGCCAACCAAACCAGAGATCCCACCGGCCATTGAAGAGAACACATGATGAGGTTTTAATTTCAGTTCGTTCATATAAAATAAAATAAAAAAAATACACATCGATTTGTAAATTTGTTATATCCATCTTGACATTTGATTTTTTTTTAATAATGAGACAATCTTAATTATGCTGAGTTCCATCCTCTAAATTATTCAATGTTCTTCCCACCTCTAAACATCACTCGAGTCCCTGCCTTGGAACATCATTTTCACATGAATATGATGGAATCATCATCAGCATCTTCCATCACGATGATGATGATGATGATGATGATGATGATGATGATGATGATGGGCATAGATGGCTCCAGGCAATATGACAATGGTGGGCATAAACAACTCAAATCTAAAGATGTATGAGAGAGGGTTAGTTTTCTTTGCGTTTTCTTCCAAGTATTGAAGCTCTCTGGAATCTAGGGCCGCCTATCCGCCACTTCTTGAAGGCTGTCACTGACGAGTGAGCTGCTTCATACACTGTCATCAAGCCACAACAAAAAAAAAAAAAAGAGTGGCATTTCTTTAAGCAATGAGGTTCTTGTGAAGACGGTAATGGATTCGAGTAAGGACTTACGGTTAGTTTCTTCTCTTGTTAGAAGTGACAAGAACTTGGAAGCTGTTACATGAGCTGAAGTGTATGCCTTTGTCAGTATCTCCTTGTATCTGATCTTAAACGCAGTTGACAGCAAGATTCCGATGGTTCTATCATTAACCCTGTTTCAACCAAACCATATGGAATGCAATCAAGCCTATATATAGACCAAACCGTTCCAATTACCTAAAAAAGATTCGAACACGTGTTAGTTAAATAGAGAAACTGTAAGTATCAGTGAGCAAACGAGAGAGACGATGAGAACAAAAGAGGTTTGCCAATTTAATTCTGACTGCACAATTAAAGCCGTTTGATAAACTGATCAAATAATTTTAGGAACTCAAGCCACATTCAGGGCGTAATGGCGAATGGCTTTGGCCTTTGGGTGACAAAGAAACTTTGCAACAAGATCTGAATTCATCAAGCATTGCTTTGCCTTTTCATGACCAGAGAGCAAATACCCACATAAATAAACAGATCCATGCAGACACCAAAGGCAAAATTACAAGAAAATGGGAAGCCAAGTAGATAGGATTAAAAAGGGACTTACAGAGGCTCAATCTTGCAACCAAACTCATAGAAGTATGGACAACGGGATTTTAGATCCACACAAGCCGCATCCGCCTGAATTTCTAGTCTTGTCCTGCATGGTGAACAATGCCATAGAGATTAGGGAATTGTACATAACGGAGGAGAACCAACTTCTCGAGACAAGGCATACATAAGCAAAAACAAAACCACACCAGCAAAATTAGCAATCCAGATCTTTGCCACCAGTACTCTAGTCTATGATCGCCTACAATCTATCACAAGAAACTACGAAATACTTACTTTTGGTTGAAACAGGCAGGAATATTGATGGATAAAACTTGCCTCAGAACCAGCTCATGAGCAAGCCAGAAGGGCAACTCCACTTTTGCACCTTGTTCAACCTGAATTACACGCGACAACAGAATAAAAATCAATTCAGTATCCCAACCATCTCTAAATCTACTCTACTAATGAAAATACTCACACAGTTTGTTTCTGCACTGGGATCGATGGTCACTCTGTTTGCTGTTTTGTGGAATAACACTGGGACAAACTGCAAGTAGTAACAATAACAAGTGATGCCAGGCTACTAGTTGAAAAGACAGCCAAGAACGCGAAGGAGAACACAACACTGACCTCTTCCTCTATAAGTATGTCATCGATATCATAGTAATTTGCCATTCTCTAAGGATAATTCTGCACAATCAGCTGGCTGATAAAATATGAGAAGCCAAGAAGCAAATCTGCAGCAGTGTCTTGAGATAGGATTCTTGGAAAGGACCACAAGCCAAGCATAAGACGCTCTGAGTATCCCTGGAGAAAGTTATCTCTGTTAACACCCGGATGCCTCCACTAAGAATATCAAAACATTGCTTACAAGTTCGAAAAGCGAAATCTTTCCTCGTAAGAACAAAGATCCCAAAATCAAAATCAAATCAAGCGAAATATTTCTTCACATTCAGCCAAGTTCGAATCTACACACATGGTACTCCTACTACTCCTACTATAATTCTACACACAAGCCTAAACTTTTTCTCAAGCCGACTTCAGTTGCCCACAAATTCGCTTAACCCAGAATCTGAAATTTCGAATTAAGAACGATGCCTAGATCAATCGACCGTTCAACTAAACAACACATCTTCAAATTCTACATTGGTTCTCAGCAATCGAGTACCAAGGACGAGCAAAACCGTAGGTAAAAACAGCCCGAGTGTTTGCGCTTAGTCATGAAATGCCGTAAAGCAAACATCTGACAAACAAGTCCAATCGCTCTGGAAATTGAGGCTAAACACACCGATTACCGACCGCGTTTGCGGATTTGAGTTACCATTACGCCCACTTCCATTTTCAGTCTTCTTCTGGCTTTCGGCCAAATCCCATCAAATACTCCGATGAGAATTTGTCCGTGACCGAGCCGGATCCGGCCATAACCAGTGGAATTCGGACGAATCGAGTTACGGCGGAGCCATATCGGTAATGCTTGAGAAATGGCATTCGAGAAGGGAACTGCAAAATCGAAGGAAGAAAGAAGAGGATTGAGCAGAAATATAACCTGGCGGTGGCGGCAGCGACTGCGATGACGGGAGAGATAATATTGCAGAATCTGAAGGAAGAGAGAGGAGACGACCGAGGCTGGAGCAAAATCACAGACAATCGACGAAAGAGACGACGCAGGGTCAAGCTCGCGGCAAGACAGGTGGCGAGGGAGGCTGGAGGCGAGTCAGGGTGGAGCTCGAGCAAAATCACCGTCGGCGGCGACCCAGGAGACGACGAAGTAGTCGACGACAGGAGGCAAGGCAGGCAGAGGAGGTAGACAGAGAGGGAGGAGAGTTAGGCGTCGGTGTTGTCGATTGGGAACTAGAGGAGGAGGGGAAAAGGAACCCTAAATTTTATTTCCATAGGTACAAAACAAATTAAAAGAGCGGGAAATTTAAATTTTGCTACATGTAAATCGCCCTTATTATCATTTTTAATTCCTACATATAAAATTCCTTATACCTTTTTCTAAAGGCAGATAAACAATTAAAAGAGCAGGAAATTAAAATTTTGCTGCATGTAAATTGCCCATATTATCATGTGACAAAAATTTTAAAAATAAAAATCATATATTAAATTATTTAATCAAGCGGAATGAATTAAGAAGCTAGTTCAAGTTCACTATTCAATAACCATATCGGCTATCCGAATGGAGAACCTTAGTTCCTCTTCCGGTAACTCAGGATTCTGCAATAAAATTTCAAATACCAGTTTTCTATATATATATATATATATATATATATATATATATAACCATATGGAATGCAATCAA